TTCATCTGTTTTTAACCTATAAAGCTGAAAATTTCAAATAGATATTCTGGAAATGTAGAGAATTTCTCTGTCAAACCTAGAAAACTGGTGTTAACATTTTCTATTAGTTTGGAGATTTGTGTACCTTTCTTTCTTCTACATTGATAATCCCGAAAATATTGCCTGTTTCTCTATCAGATACATGAGTCTAAGAAAAAATATCAATATTTTTGATGGCAACCATTGCAAAATGAGTTTAAAGATACAGGACTTTAAACTGAATCTACAAGAATACTGTGTAACTGACAACAGAGTCAGAAAAATGTGCCAAGCACAGTAGGGTGTGCCTGTGGCCCACAGCTACTTGGTAGGCTGAGGCAGGGGACTGCTTGAGCCCAAGAGACCAAGTCCAGCCTGGGCAAAATAGCTAGATACTATCTCTAAAACAATCATACAAAAAACAGAGGCAGGAAAATGGGAATAGATGTTTAAGTTTTATAATTAACTACTTACTTAGCTGCCAATGAAGCAGAATGCAACATTATTAAGAGCTCTATGTTCTAAATCTGATCCTAGTCTTAACGTTATTATAAACTGGCTATAAAATCACAGAGCCCCAGTTTCTCCAACAATGGTGTGAAGGGCTGGAACCATGGACTTGAAGATCCTACTTTGTTCTAATAATCTCTGACTTGTGTTACTAATGGACCACAATTATTAAGTAATCATAATAGAGAAAAAAACACTAAGGGCTCATCAGGATGTCACAGGTCTGTTTTATAATTTAAATACAATTCATCCCATAGAAGCTCAAAAATAAATTTCCAGAGGAAAGTCAGAACTAGGCTAAGCAAAATTGTAACAAAGTGATGTCAGCCTCACTTTTAGGATGGAAGCTCAGAATAAGGGAGAACTGTTAAAAAATGAAAAGGAAATAGTACTGGTCTGAAGTATAGAAGTCAAATCACTGCAAAATAGGTCTCAAGAGGCTTCTGCAAAGTTGTCTTAAGCATTAATGCCCCTTGATAATACGAAGGCAAGAAGTCTAAAGATAGGGTCCTATTTGTCTTTCCATTAGATTCTGGCATCTAGAAACACAACTCTCTATATTTATCCTAATGTATGGAAATCAACTAAAATCATATTTCTTCATAGTGTAAAGCTTATTTGTATCTATAACAATTTGATTCACAGCATCTCTGTCAAGTCTATCTTCCATCAAGCCTATGATCATGAAGGTAATTGTGAAGAAATTTTTTAAAAAAGAAAAAGCATGCACAAATGAAAAGCAAGCAGAGGAAAACACAGTTGGAACCTAATAGAAGCAATTCAAGTAAAAATACTGTTGTGCCACCTTACAGATTACAGAAAGTACATTCTCTTCCCACTAATTTTCCCCCTACGATAAAGAAAAATACAAAATTGATTCCTTACCCGTATAAGATTGGTAGTATGCTTTTGGAAAGAAAAATTACAGGCTATTATATGCATTTTCCAAGCTGATTTATTCTTTTCAAATGATTGCCAGGAAATTAGATTTTCATTTTTCTTTGTTTAGTCATTCATGCTTTTTCTTGGAGGTTTGCATGAAAGTAAGAGCTGAAAAAACTCAGCTGAAGAATACAACTGAAGGATTTATATAGATGCATATCAATCACTGGAGACCCATGTATATGTAATGTTACAAAGACATAATTAGACCAAATGTCTATATTTTGCAAAGATTTAATTTTGCAGTCTGTTAGATTTTCATGCATAAGTTATCACAGCTGTGAGATACCAACTCAAAAAACATGCACGTAATACACATTTAAATGAGCACACCAGGGAACTATGAAGCTACTAGTTCCTCTCTATCTGTGGCCACACACGCAAGAAGTGAAAATATGTCCCTAAGATCTTTGGTACTTTTAAAAATAACACAATATTAACGTGTGTTTTCTTCTCTGATGACACAGATGGTTTAAGAAATATGAATAAGAAATTCCCTTTAGAGTAATGTGAGCCAATCAGACAATGACCACTGGATACTCATCAAACAGGAAAAGAGGGCTATGTATTTTCATTTACGCCATATCGACAAACACATTTAGCATATGTCCCTGACTGAACGATGTCAATCCTTCTGGCTTGTCAAGTCTCTAAGACAATTACATGAAACCATTCTTTTTCTCTATGAGCTACAGAAACTGTTTAAAATTGTCCTATTAACTTACATAATGCTGAGAATAAATTTCCAGAGCTTTCTTAAAATTCAGAGTGTTTAGGGTAGAAATTAAATCATAGACCATGGGAAGGCAGGACTACATCTTTCTCCTCCCTATCCTTAAAGCTTTCGCGTAGCAGACCTCCAATAAGAATATGTTACATGAATCAAGTCAACTGTTCCAGCCTTATCTGACAATGAGGTTGTCATTAACTGCATTTTATATCTGGATGGACACGCCTCACTTTCTCAGACACAAGAGGTATCTGTCTTTGAGGCTGTTGTTGTTTTTATTAGATACTGAAATGCTGCCTTAAAAACCACTTTAGGATTTCCTAAAACCTTTTAATACCTTTCTAACTTTGAATATACATATTACCTTCCAAGTACACCTATCAAACAAAATTGGAGGCTCAAGAAGCAATGAAAGGTAACTCATTCATCTGTAAGATGGACAGTCAAACTATACAAGTGGGCCAAATTTGTCCTAAAAGCTAAGAAGAGTTTTTATATTTTTAATAGGGGAATGGACAATCAAAAGGAAAATAATACTTCATGGCATGGGAAAATTATATGAAATTCAAATTTTAGGGTTCTGAAAGGAAGTTCCATTTATGGAACAGCCACTCTCTTTCCTTGATGCATTACCTTTGGCTGTTTTTGTGCTACAGTCACAGAGCTGAGTAGTTGCAAAAGACAACACAGAGCAGAAAATCTAAACATTTACTACCAGGGTTTTTCAAAAAGCAGCTTGCCAATCCCTGTACTAGATTTCAGACCTTTTCCTACTAATTGAAAAAACAGACAGGAAAGAATACTAGAGAGCAACTAGTTCACCATGATATATTACCTTGTGATTCTTCAGGAATCATTTTGGTATCGCCCAACTTCCAGAGTTAACAGGAGGAAATTTGGGGTGTTTCTTAATACCATGACATACATCTCTTGGGAAAGAAAGATATCCCTCCTGGATCTATAAATGATGTTACAGGTTTCTGTTTCTTTGATCCCAGTTGTATGGTTTTATAAGAACTAAATCATTTATCACTTAAATATTTTAGTATATATTTCCATCTGATATCCCAAAGCATCCATATGATTAGGAATGAAAATTGTGTCTGCAACCCTGAGTTCTAATTCTTTCAGAATACTCTGTGTGACCAAGGAACCACCTCATTTAACTTTCTGCTCATCCTTACAAATAAAAGCATACCATTAAAATTTGCAAAATTTTCTAAAAGTAAATGGTGAGATCCCTTCTGGCTAAAAGGATCTTGGATGCTCAAGGAAGTCCTCTGAACAAAGAGTGTGCTTCCTTTCTCTCTCCTGTCCACTCCGCCCTACAGAGAACAGGTTCTCAGAAAATGTCTCTTCACTATCAGTGATACATTTACATTGATTTAAAAAAACAATAATAAGGCTGGGTGTGGTGGCTCATGCCTGTAATCCCAGCACTCTGGGAAGCCAAGGCAGGTGGATCACCTGAGGTCAGGAGTTTGCGACCTGTCTGGCCAACATGGTGAAACCTCGTCTCTACTAACAAATACAAAAAAATTAGTTGGGCATGGTGGCATGAGCCTGGAGTCACAGCTACTCAGGAGGCTGAGGCAGGAGAATCGCTTGAACCCACTAGAAGGAGGTTGCAGTGAGCTGAGATTGCCCCACTGCACTCCAGCCTGGGCAACATAGCGCGATTTCATCTCAAAATAATAATAATGATGAGCATTCTTCTTATGTTTTCCATAGCTAACTCCCTACAACAGCTAATAACATAGAAAGCAACCATTTTTTTATTGCTCATTTACATTTCTATTGTAAAACATAATCTTTGCCTCTGGCAAGATAGTTTTTGACTACCTTTCTTTTTTGCCTAAAGTATGAAGTTGAAAGTCTACATTACTCAAGTGGACTTATAATGTATATATTTTACATTTATCTACAGAGTCTCTGACAATATTTCCAGCACATATATAATATTTTAATCAAACTAACAAGTGATTATTTTTAACCACAGAAAGGTAAATATAAACAGAGTCCCTATTGACCAACCTCTCATCCTTTCCTAAGAGCTATTCTATTCTATTTCGTCATAAAATAACATCATAAAAGATCCAAGATTCAAGGCAAAGCTTAACATGTAAATAGATTATATGTATGTGTAATACCCTTGAAAAATCTCTCTTGATTTATGTAAAAACGTATTACTGGAAGACAGTCTAGAGCAGAGATGCTAAAATATTGCAACATGATGCTACCTTATCTTTCTGCACCCAGATATTTTCCCAATTATCACGTACTATGTCTCAAAATTCTTCTCAATACAGCATTCAAGTAAGTCACGTTTTATTACAGTAAAACCTATTTGCTATCCCTGTTCTACAATGTTATTTCCAAAAGTGGACTGTGTGCAGTCTAGAAGATTTACACAACAATCCAGTGGGATGAAGAAAGATTTCATGTTTTCAAACACACACATTACTACCAAATAGAGTGTGTACTCAAAATTTTTGTATTGGTAAGTGTGTATGGATTAGGCATATAAAGAAGAGAACTAACTGTTAGTGTGAGTTTCTTTGTAATTTGCCAGAAATGGTTTAGATTTAATTTCAGAACGTAAGTGGAACTCCTAAGGGAAGGTTCTGATAAGACATCAAAAGGTTGCAACTGAAAGAGGATTGGCAGACCACGTCATCTGAATCTATTACAATCTGCTATCTCCCATTATGCTCCACATTGCCCATCAATCACCCTATTGCTGATTCAAATAACATCACTCTCACTCATGCCTCCTAAAATAACACATTGATACACTCACTGTTTCTGAAGTAAGTGCTGGTGCTGCTGCTGTTGCTGTTGCCTGTACGTTTCGATTGTGTGCTGCGGAAGGTATTGCATGAGTTCCAGAGACTCTTTGATCTTCAACAGCATTTCATAAGTCTCACGGCCCCTCACCTATGTAAGTGAGCAGAAGGAAAGGAGGAAACATGAAGGGCTGTAGAACTATTAGAAGTGTGGTCAATCCTGATTATTCATGGAATCCATAATTGCAATTTGTCTATTTGCTAATGTTTATTTGTAACATGAAAGTCAATACCACTGGCCCTTTCATGGTCATTCAGACCTGTGCAGAGTGACAAAAAAATCTGTGCATGTTTCAGCTGTGTGTGTTTCCAGCTGAGGTCGAACAAGGAGATGCTCTGCCGTCTTGTTTCAGCTCTCAGGCTGTAAACCTACGTTCTTTTCATGGTCTATTTAGCACCACATTTTTTACATTGTGTGCTTTTCATTGGTGATTTTGCTACTTAAAAAGACCCTCAAGTACAGTGCTGAAGTGCGGTCTAGTGTTCCTAAGTGCAAGAAGGTTTGTTCCATGCCTTATGGAGAAAATATGTGTGTTAGAGAAGCTTTATTCAGGCATGAGTTATAAGGCTAACTGGTCACAAGTCTGATGTTAGTGAGTCAACAGTACATATTAAATAAAATGTCTTTTAACAGAAACGCACAACAAATGAAGTTATGTATTTATCTGTTGATGAAATGCATGTGATCAGAGGTGCACAGAAACCTAATCCTGTATTTCTCTTACGAGCGATGAGATGATTGATATTCACCAAAACTATTTCTGTAACACCTTCATTAAACTACTACAAAAAATAAGAATAGATTGTACCTATGTCTGATAGGATAAAAGTTTTCATGTGGGATAAACTATGTTTCTCTCTTTAAGAGAGTCCCTTAAAATCTTTTTAAAAATCTCCTAACAGCTTTTACAGTTATGAGCAGGGCTAGGCACGGTGGCTCATACCTATAATCCCAGCACTTTGGGAGGCTGAAGGGGGCAGATTGCTTGAGCTCAGTAGTTTGAGACCATCCTAGGCAACACGGAAAACAACGCTTTCTCTATAAAATGTGCGAAAATTAGCTGGCATGGTGGCCCACACCTGTAGTCCCAGCTATGTGGGGAGGCTGAGATGGCAGGATTGCTTGAGCCTGTGAGGTTGAGGCTGGAGTGAACCTCCACTGCACTCCAACCTGGACAACAAAGTGCGATCCTATTAAAATAAAATGGATGAGCAATGCCAGGACTAGACTGAGCAAGAGAGGCATGTAGCACATGTGCATTTGCCCTGGGAGTGAGTGACTATTTCAATTTTGCACCGTAGGCACTTAAACTGCCTCACCCCAGCTGCTGCACTGAGTAGGAAAGAGAGAATTACTCAGAATTCAGAAATCAAAGATGTTCTCTACCTTTTGCTGAATTAGCTCTTACTCATCCCAGCAGTGGGGCCCCTTCTCTGAGCAGCTTGTCTTGATCTTACTCTTACATCTTTGGAACTTCTTGTGTACTCACAGAGCACTAGACCTTGCTCTAGGAAACGTGTACTTTATTGCATTCTAACAGTTTGTGTCCTCGATAGAAGGCAAAGTAGTTGAAAGTAAGAACTGTGTCCTACTGATTCCTAAATGCTCAAGGTCTGGCTTATTTGCCACTTACCAAACACAAACAAAATATGTATTCAATTAACGGAATTTTTCCTCACCCATAAATTATAGTTTGGCTAAGCCTTCTCTAATCTTGAGGTGAAACACATTACAGAGTACTTCCTTTGGAGTACAAACTGAAATTTTAAAACAGTTTTTCAAGCAGTTCTTGTTCTATCAGCTGAAAACACGTTAAGGCTTTTGGAATATTTAGTGTATCAGGGTAATGTTTTACTTTATGTCACAAATCAGTTTCCATATATAGCTTGAGAAACAATACACTTAGAATCACAGTGAGCTCACTATCTGATGAGTCTACTGGCAATTTATTCCCGAGAGTCAGGACCCGAAGAAGATGAGGAAGAAGGTGTGGCGTATCTAAACCTGGTGAGTTTCTTTAGTTCAATACCAGGGTGGTAGTTCATGGTCAAATCTCCTGGCCCTGCTTGGCTGTTCTCATGTCACTTTAGATGGCATCAAGGGCTATACCAGCCACCAAAATTTCATTTCCACCCCACATGGCAAAGACTTAATGCAATAAGAATTTGATTAACTGAAAGCATAATCTAATAAAGTGATCTCATTATTGATCTCAAGAAAAGTAATGTTCCTGGTAGGAATTAATGAGATTCTTAAATAATAATTGGGCTAAGACGTCTGGCCATTTACAGATACAGTTATCTCTTGGTATCAGCAGGGCACTGATTCTATGATTACCCACCCTCACCCTGGCCCCTATGGACACTAAAATCCTCAGTTGCTCAAGACCATTATATAAAATAGTGTAGTATTTTTATGTAACCTATGGACATCCTCTGTATACTTAAAATTACCTCTAGATTACCTAAAATACCTGATATAATGTAAATGCTATGCAATTAGTTGTTATACTGTATTGTTATTATATTTGTATTATTTTGATTGGAGTACTGTTATTTTTTTTACCAACTATTTTTGATCTGTGATTGTTTGAATCTGCAGATGTGGAACAGGCAGATAGGGAGGGCAAACTGCAGGTCAGGGTTCTGCCTTGCTTGACTTTCTTTATAGCACTCCCTAAAAGACATCAAAGTCAAGGCTATAATTGCTGTATTATCAATTTTTTTTTTTTTTGAGATGGAGTTTTGCTCTTGTTACCCAGACTGGAGTGCAATGGCGCGATCTCGGCTCATGGCAACCTCCGCCTCCTGGGTTCAGGCAATTCTCCTGCCTCAGCCTCCTGAGTTGCTGGGATTACAGGCACGCGCCACCGTGCCCAGCTAATTTTTGTATTTTTAGTAGAGACGGGGTTTCACCTTGTTGACTAGGATGGTCTTGATCTCTTGACCTCTTGATCCACCCGCCTCGGCCTCCCAAAGTGCTAGGATTACAGGCTGAGCCACTGCGCCCAGCCCTGTGTTATCAATTTTATGAACTTTTTCTGACAAAACTTTAGGCCTAAATTGCCGGCCATGCTCCCTAGGATAATCTTACCATTCTCAAATAATAAAGGGCAAGTTAATTTTAAATATTTGGGTAGGAAAACTTCTATTTGGAGTTTAGCTTTAATTGGGTGGGTAGATAAGCAGAGAATGCTATTCATACAGTCCAAAAGTGTGGAGAGGAAGAAGAGTTTCCTAATTTTACAAAACACATATTTTCTCTCTTTTATTTCATCAGCCCTCAACCCCCTGCCCCCTTCTCCATTATGGACTGAAGGTTTGTTAAAATTTTAACCCCATTGTGATACATTAGAAAGTGAGTCCTTTGGAAGTAATTTCGGGCATGAGGGTGGAGCCTTCATAATTGGTATTTGTGACCTTATGAAAAAAACAAAAAACAACCTAGAGAGCTCTCTAGCCTTTTTCACTATATGAAAATACAAGGAGAAAATGGCAGCTTGCAACTCAGAAGAGAACTCTCATCAGAATCCAACTAGAACGTCACCTTGCTCTCAGACTTCCAGACTCTAGAATGGTGAGAAAATAAACTTCTGCTGTTTATAAGCCATCTAGTCTACGGTAGTTTGTTGCAACAGCTTCGACTGACTAGGACACCTTCTCTTCCATTGTCACAGATAACTAGGAGATGTTCATACTGTAAAAGCTCATTCAAAGGAGGTTAAAATTAAGCAATTATAAACACCCAAGGGAGACCTACTGGTAAGTATAACAGTTCATCATCTGGGGATCTTCGTTTCTTGATGGATGTCATCTGGATACCATGTGTGTTCTGACGAAATGCTGGTGGAGGAAAAATGCAAGTGTCATCCTGAGAACATTTCTAAAGCAATAATGCACATTAAATATATTTAATAATTAAATATTAATATTAATCAGATTTAATAATACATATTAAATGGACAGTAGTGCCAGCAACACATGTAAGATTAGAGGCTCTAGTCCTAAGCATCCATTTAATTGGTGACAATTGTTTTTACATTGGTTGTGATCCTAGCAATGAGGAGGTGGGGAAGAATAAGTAAAATAAAGAAATTCAGTATGCTGGGAAATGGCCTTTGGCTTAAGTAACGTTGCAGGAAACCCCATGTCTTGCTGGTGTATGTCTGTGAATAAATGATGTTTCTGTTACTGGTGTGGAAATCACATTTTGAGAACCCCTGGACTAAGAAATCCTCACAATGACTACTTGCTTTTGTAAAGTGGTAATACTGCCTGGAGTCCATTTCAATGCTATACCTATTCTCATAGGCTCTGAGGGCTGAAATACCACTTGCTGCTGAAGGTCACAAGTCCTATCATGCCGCTTCTCCAAATCACCCCATTCTCCAACATCTGGAGAAGGCTCAACCCTACCCCATGTGGCTACTACATCTACTTACGGCGCTTCGTACCATCACCGTTCTTTGTACTGTCCGAAACTTGCTGCTTTCTGATGCTATCTTCATCTGCCTTCCTGTCTCTTCCTGGGCAAGCACAGATCCGGGCCTCAAAGCAGCGTCGGCCCAGGACTTGCCCACTAGGAATTAGAATAAAGGGGAAGAAAGAGTTAAATTAAAAGCGTTTGAAAGTCCCCTGGAGATCTCCCACTTCCATTTCCCACATGCGCCGTCACCAATGTACTACCAGCTCAGCCATGGTGGCTTTGAGAATGGACCCAAAAGCACTTGGCAGAACACAAAAGGGCTCACATCCCGCAAGCAATATTAGTAAAAACATTCCATTTGTTCTCCAAAGAACCTCCAAGCTATTCGCTGAACAGTTGTATTTAGCTACATATTTTGAAGGAAACCTGAGTTAAGCCAGTAGATGTCTTAGGATAAAATCCCCTAAGGCAGCGCAGGCTTAAAGAAATGGTCAAATGCCTTGAGGACCACTGTCTAATCAGAAACAATTTCAGTCAAATGTCAAGAATTCAGGTATGAAGTGACTTACACACCTTCCTAGCTTTTTTTTTCCCTCTAACTTTACCCACCCTCTTTTGTGTCCACTTTCTTAGATCTTTTATGTAACTGCGGCAAAGATTTAAAGCACCAAGGACAAAAATCAAGAGTAGCTCTCCGCTGTGCATGCAAAGTCAACGATAAAGCAGCCACAATTTCACTTTGCCCTCTGTTCATGATTTTTTGTAGAACGACAACTCTGTATATGCCACTTACTCTCTGGTTTCCAGAGTAACAATGATTAAAATTGGACGGCGGTTCATCCCTCCAACACAGCTGCTGTTACACATGAAATTGTACAAGACTGTCGTGAATTCAGTGCCAACCTGAAAGCAAGGGGAAAACAATCTGTGTCAATGACAGTTTGAACTCATCTTGTTCCCGCTCAGTTCTTTCCTCTATTTAAGCAATTCCACTTCTGATAAAATGATACGCTTCCACCTAAAAGGGCAAACTCTGAACCCTGTTGTAGATTTTTCTTCTTGCCTCCAGGGAAGCTTAAAGCTAATGTTTGCAACACTGAACACTAACTACCTGAGGTGAGACAGGCGTTAACAGATTTTGTGATCTTTAATTCTGTTCATTTGTAAGTTGATCCACATCATGTAATTCAAATAGGCTATACCACCTTCATGAATATCACTGAAAAGGGAAAGCTGAAAATAATTGCTAAAATAGTAGCAATGCTCCAAGAGTATTTTACCTATGTGGATAAAAAAATACAATACAGAATTGAATATACACTTCCATTAATAACATCTTAGAGCTCAAAAGGTTCTCAGAATTAAAAATAATCTAGTCCAAAGTACATACTTATGGGCAACACAACGGAAGCCTAGAGAAGGAGGGTTGCATGCCGAAGGTCTACACAGCAAGCCAGCAAACCAAAGAACTTGGGTTATGTTACTCCAACGTACTGGCCTCATGCAACAAATTTACAAATCTATCATCTGTTCATTCAGACTTCAGCTAAGAAATCCCTCAGGCTCTCCCACTTCTGGTAACACTGTACATCCACTACCAGTCCAATTGCCAGCTGGACACAACAGTGCCGTGTATAAACCCAGTTGCCAGTTCAATTGTTACTGGCCCTTAAATGAGAATAAAAGCACGGAGCCATGTTATCAAGTTAATTCAGTGCATATTTAGGCATTCCGAAGGGAAAGCATGTGGAGAATAGGTAGAAAAAAAATACAAAAATCTTACATATTTGATGACAAGGACTGAGACAGTGATAGATGCTAGAAACATCCCTGTTGTGGAAACACGTGTTCTCTCAAGTCTGCTGACTGCATAGAGTGCTGTTCTTTGGTTTGGTTTGTTTTTTTACCTGGGGTGGTTCATAAGGTACCAGCACACTCTGTCTTCCTGTGATGGGGTCTTCTACATACTGGGCATGGCTGTTCCCTTCTACTCGAATCAAATGACTAGGAGGGGCGATCTGTCCTGAAGAGCAGAAAACGGTAAAAAGTTAGTTCCTTTCCCTAAAATAAAGAAAACAAAATGAAATTGCATGAACAGGATGTTGGTGGCAAATGAAATGATCTCTGTCATAAGGAAAACATGCATCCTTGAAGAAAGGAGCAGATCTCGCAACCAGATATCGAATACATGAAGGTGTCTTAACCTTCATAGCAACAGAAAGGGCTGGAATCCTCATCTATATTTAAGGGACCAGTCCTATAATTTGGAGTTTAAGGTTAATGATTCAAGCTTTTATAGGATTCTATAACTACATCTGTGATCTCATCCATGGAGGAAATTTTGCCAGCTTCCGGGAAAATGAAAGGGAAAGAAGCAAATTAATTAAAAAAAAAAAAAAATCAGTTTCACTGAGAAAATGCTGTCCAAAAGTCTGACCAGCAAATATACTGAGAAACAGAAGTTAGCAAGGATGTCATTTCCACTTCTTCTTTCCTCCTTCTCAACTTTTAGACCTTGTGTTGATTATAAAGATAAGAAACGTTCTGCCTTTTGTGTGCTGAAGGAGTCCCAAGTTGGGTATAAGAAAAGGGATGTAATTTTAAAAAAGAAACTAGGTAAAGTTTTGTAAAATTGTGATATTTAGCAGAGCTCCAGAAGAAAGATGTTCCAAGAATTGGGACCTGTAAAGCTGTCCTTAACCGTTCTTAGGTCACATAGTCCCAGTCTACAAAAACCATTCAATAAAGGTAAAAAACTACGTGTATCCAAATGTTCTCTTCCACATCATCTATTATGGTTAAAACTAAAAACAATTATTATTTTTGAAAAGTGAGAAAACACTTAAAACTAGTGTGTCATCTTGATGGCATACCAAGTGATATAAGCTAATAATGAAGTCTATCTATAAGGCAGTATTCTTTACGGCAGATAGTTAAGTGAAGAGCAAGACACAAAGGTATGGATAACGTGGCCATGCAGGCAAGGACGCAAAACTAAAGTGTAAAACACGGTTGTGTTCAGGAGTATTTTGACTTTATTTTCTCCTTTTAAATTCCTATCCATTCTCTTTCTTCTTCCATTATTTTCTCTACAATCTGTTATATTCTCTATATTTACCAATCCTTATATTTTAATATTTTTTCCTCAAAGTATCCTAACCCCCAACATCTTCAGCACCCTCAATACTCTTTGAGGATTCCATATGCTTTATTCTTTTCCACTTTTTAACACTCTATTTAGCCTCCCTTCATGGAACTATCATATCAGATCTAAGGGAACTCTTGGAAATACTGACCTTTTCTGCTAAATTGTTGTAGGATCTGAGACTCAGAAGATGAGGTATGCCTTATTCACGGTTACAGAGCCTAAAGGTGGCCTTCAAGATACCTCATCCCCCAACTCCCAGTCCTTCATATGACTGCCTCCAGTATGCTCTAGACCTTCTATTTATTCCTCTTACCCATTACTTGCCTTCTTATCTTCTTTTTCTCCTTTCTCCCTTTTTTCTTCTGTTTTTTTTTTTTTTTTTTTTTTTTTTTTTTTTTTCCTTTTCATTATTTCTGTCCTTTGGTGCTCCTTTCTCTTACCCTTCCAGCTCTCAACTGGTCTAGACTTGAGAATCTTTCTGGGAAAACACTAAATCTGAAGATACTGTAGCCTGGGCCAAGCAGAATAGCTGCATGTGGTCAGTCTCCTCACACCCTCTTACTTAAAAAAAAAAAAAAAAAAGTCAAGAAGAATAAGAAGAAGGAAGCATTAGGGAATAAAGACGCTAGTAGTCCAGGTCATCCAGTAATTACTCATATTAAATTAAGTAATTCAACCACTATAAAAGCCACGAATTTATTCATCATTATTCTTAGATACTCTGCTAGCTAAAAAAAAAAAGGCAGACTGATATGCCATCAGAGTGCAGAAGTCTGAATCAGGTAGATGAGTCTCAAACAAAAATACCCACAGAATCTTGACCTTCAAGGAGGTTACTTGAAGAGTTAGAGATTCAAATTCTGCTTACCCTCATTAAATTCACGGCTCAGCTCATGGTTGGGGCACCGCTTTACCACCTCAGTGACATGCTCAGCTTTTTTGTAGACAGGCATGGCGCGGATGACAGCTCCCTGAGGAGGTGGGGTCATCACCTTGATCTGGATGGGGCATGTCTTTGCAATTTGGCAGTACAGTTTCTTCAGTTCAGTGGAATACTGCTTAGAGTTGGGGCCAGTAGAGAAAGGAAGGAGAGAACCAACAGGAGATATTGTTACATTCCAAATCAGAACAATAATCTGTCCACTTTTCATAGCTGCATGCCTCAAGTTTACTACTGACTATTATAGATGTGACTGACATATGTCAATCTCATTAGAGGAAGTTATATTCATGAATGAAACTAATAATTTTTGCTATCCTTAATAAAACCCTATGTTTACAAAAGGTTTTATGTTTATCAAAACTCACTTATGCCATTATTTCCTGTTATTTTCCTTTAGGATGAAGAAGCTGAGGCTCAGAGAGGTTTAAATGAGTAATACCATGAGTAGCTTCATAGATTACCAGAAACTAAGTGAGAGAAGAGTATTGTCATGTGCCGAGTGATATTAACCAACAAACCATTAAGAGAGATTTCTGCCTAGATTCTAATTAATCCAGTTTTTAATATAGTTTAGAGACAGTCATAGGAATTAGGGTTCATGGGAATTTTTTAAAGATGGAATATCTGTTAAAGAGTGAAGAGATTTCGCTTGAGGTCAGCCCTCTTGAAAACTGCAAAACAAAAACTCCCCCGAACGACTGCACTTTACTTTTAATGTCACAGCATAGGAGAATGCAAGAGCCAAAAGGGGTCATGTAGTCAGACTCCTTACACCCTCTTATTTTAAAAAATTAAACAAGCGAGAAAATTAAAAAGAAGGAAGCACTGGGGAATAAAGACACCAGTAGTCCAGGACATCCAGTGAGTGAAACTTTTCCTTCTCTAGGGAGAGGAAGTTCAGTGATGATTAGCTGGTTGTCGAGTTGCCAAAAACAGGGTAGAGAAAGCCTGAGACCTAGGACCAAATAGAGATCCTATCCTATGTTGCTTCCCTCTCCCACTTCTGAAGCCGAAGTGAACCTTCATTCGAATCCTTACAAAACAGTAAACCTTATCACCCCGTTCTCTAGGCCAATGCCCTACCACTTCATTCCTACCCACTAAGGCTCTTTGCTCAGGCAAACCACCCAGGCACTGGAATTGCCGGCCAAGAGTGGGGCCCCTAGTAACATGTATCCAAACAAAGGATAAACACACACACACAGGTTGCAATTATAAGTTGGCCCCAACATCCTCCCAGAGGAAAGATGGGGCGGGGAGAGCAGAGCAAGAGTGGCAATCGGATTCATTAATGATATGTGCCACCCTAACTCTCTCTAATGGCAAGTATCTTACCAAAACTCACACATTTAAAATGTTGCTTTATTTCTTCATCTGAAAATAAATATAGTATTTAAATGACCTTTGCTTTTCTTCCAAGTATTCCAGCATATGAAATTTTTAACATTTCCCAATGCTAGAAAAGTATTGCAAAATCAGCCCTCCATGCCTACAGGCCATGGATTAAACACAGCAAAAGGGATTTACATAGCTTGAAGAAACAGGAAACATGCCAAAATTCAACCACAAAAATAAAATTCTACTTGGGAAACACTGAATGAAATCTAGATGGGTATTTTTGCTCTTGTGCTTTTAACTAACGACTTATACAGAAATTGCTTTATGACATATTAAGAACTCACTTTTATTGGGAACTTGAAGAAAATAAGCATATCCATTTGTTTCTGTTTTTGTTAGGAGGCATATAATGCATAATCTAATCATGAATTTCATAAGATGACCCTTAGGAAAGGTGACTGAAAAATAAGTCTATCAACTAATACCTGAAGACAAATAAGGTATCTTCCAAGTATGTAAAGACGGCAGAAATGGAGGTTGAGTGTTCATATTGGAACAGCTTCTGAAGAGAAACATTCCATTTTAATAACTGATATACTATAAATCAAGCTTGACAGAGTAAAGCAAGAAAGTATTAAGAATAAGATTAAGGATCATCAAGTGATAATTCTTGTTCATTCTCAGGGATGGGGGTGGGAATCTAATTTTTAAGCTTAATTAATGATAAATAATAATATCTTCATCATTTACTGAGTTCTGTTTTAAGACATTTTATCCTCATACAACCCTAAGAGGAAGGTATTACAAACATACTATCTCTTATCTAAAACCTCTGGGGCTAGATGTTTCAGAATCCAGTATTGCTTAGATTTTAGAAAAAAAGTAAAGTTTGTGTAACATATAAATATATCCAGCAGAATTTAGGGTAGCACCCTGAGATCAAACATTATTTCTGCAGAATTCATAAATTTTCACACTGACTGATAAACGACTATGGATCCTGGGTTACACCACCAAATGACTGTACCCACAAACTTAGGAAATCAAAATAAAACTGAATCAACTTCTGATTTCCAGAGTTCTTGGAATTTCAGAATTGCAGATAACAGATACTTGACTTGAATTATTATCCCTATTTTATAAACAAGAAAACAAATGTATAGAAAGGACTTTCCCGAGAACTTGCTTAGAAACTGGTATGTGAGTCTATCCTAGTCCTGTCATGACAATTTCTCTCTTTTTTTTTTTTTTTTGTCACTACAATTTCTTATCTTTCTATTCTCTTTCTAGTTCATGCAAATTTTTACCTTTTTCTAGTTTCCAACATTGTGGTTCTTTACTGAATCAACTTACAACATTTATACTCTTCTCCAAAACTTACGATGGAGCTCAAAAGCAGTCTACGTAACACATTTTCATTAATTTCTCAGTATATTGTTTGCTCATTTGATTGTAGGGAGAGGCAGCAAGTGACAAGAGCTGAAAAGACTATGGGCTAGGTGGAAAACAATGTGGACACTCCTACCAGCTGGATCTGGGAATTCAGGGATAAAGTCCTACTCTTTTTTTTTTTTTTTTGAGAGGGAGTTTCACTCTTGTTACCCAGGCTGGAGTGCAATGGCGCGATCTCGGCTCACCGCAACCTCCGCCTCATGGGTTCAGGCAATTCTCCTGCCTCAGCCTCCTGAGTAGCCAGGATTACAGGCACACGCCACCATGCTCAGCTAATTTTTGTATTTTTAGTAGAGACGGGATTTCACCATGTTGACCAGGATGGTCTCGATCTCTTGACCTTGTGATCCACCCGCCTCGGCCTCCCAAAGTGAAGTCCTACTCTTTAACATGGTTTTTTAAAGGACTTTATGAGGTTATCTGTATTATGGTCCTATCTATCTCTAATTTCCCCTACCCCTCCACCCCCATCGACACACATTTCTCACCCCACGTTCAACCCATACGAACTCTTTAATGCTTCAAACACACCCCAAATTCAAAATGTTATTCCCTGAAATCATGTCCTTTTCAGCAACATGGATTGAGTTGAATGCCATTATCCTAGGTGAAACAACTCAGAAAAAGAAAATCAAATCTCCTGTGTCCTTAAATGTGGGAGATAAGTATCGAATACACATGTGGTCAGGCACAGAGGCTCATGTCTGTAATTCCAGTACTTCAGGAGGCCGAGACAGGCAGATCACTTGAGGTCCAGCAGGAGCTCACGACATGCCTGGCCAACATGGAGAACTCTAATCTCTAATAAAAATACAAAGATAACCAAAAAAGATACACATGGACATAAAGATGGAAATAATGGATGCTGCAGACTCCAAAAATGAGGAACATAGGAGGGGATGAGGGTTAAAATATACCCATTTGGTACAATATTTACTATTTGGGGGACAGGCACAGTAGAAGCCCAAACCTCACCATTATACAATATATTCACGTAACAATACTACACATGTATTCACTGAATCTGAAACCTAAAAACATTAAAAGCAACAACAAAAAAGGTGATATTCCCAGTATGGTATACTTCTCTTTTTCCTCTGTTCTCCACATCATGCCAGGACAATTTAGAAACCACTTTTCAGCTAGTACTGTATCTGGTACTGCAAACCATATTTTCCAATTATAGTGGTGAGGGTTCCATACTTTGACTAAATCAAAGTATCTGACCACAGCCAAGATGAATTATGTTTACTGCTTTTGGTTCAACTGCTGGTCCTGCCATTCAGCAACTACAGGAGCTGAAGTGGTCTGGCATGATTGTTTATTTCTCTATTTCTTTATACAAAGCCAAGTCTCTACTACTCTGTTTACTTCATTGTTTGCAATGCTGTTCCATGATGACATTTTTTCCCCCAGTACTAAGTTCAGTCTCCCTGGTCTATGTGTGTTAACAATTCCTTAGACTTGCCCACTTCTCTATCCCTTACAAAATAGCGCTATCATCTCCAATTTTCCAGGCTTCAGTAAGACTGGAACATACAAATCTGATTTTTACCAAGACTTTAAAATACCCTGATGATTTGAGTCAGCAGAAATTACAAGTTTGAACACACATAGCCTATTTTACTATCTTTCTTCCTCTGTGGAATTTTGAAAATTCACCTCTAAATGGCTCCTCAACATTGACCTGAAATTCTTTTTATTCTAAGGCTGAATTTATTCTTCTTGGATGGGGGTTTTGTTTTGTTTCATGTGGTGGTATACTTTGCTGCAAAGTATACCAGTTTTTAAGTGCAAAAGCTGATGGCTTGACAAAGGAACACCGCTGTGTCACTACTACAACAAGATATAGAATATCTCCATCCCCTTTCCAATCATCTTTTGCTTCTTTGCAATCAAGCCCCTCCCCAGCTCCTGGCCCTAAGCAATCATGTACCAGTTACTTTTCACTAAGTTTACCTTTCCAGAATTTTATATAAATAAAAAAATATAGTATATAATCTTACATGATAATGCTTTTGATATTTATGGTTTTTGTATGTATCAGCATTCCATTGTATTTTTAAATAAATTTCATTATTATCAACTCACCAATGATTTCAATTTTTTTCGATTGTGTATAAAACTATTATGAACATTCTATTCTATTATGAACATTCATGTACAAATTTTTGTGAGGATGTTCATTTCCCTTTTTCTTAAATACTTAGGAATATGATTGCTGGTAAGTGTATGCTTACTAAGAAACGCCATATAGTTTACAAAGAGGTTGTGCCATTTAACATTGCCACTTGCAATAGACAAGGACTTCATATCCTTGTC